ACCTTTTCTCCAAAGTATTTGTACTAGATTTGAACTTTTTGAGAAACGTCTTTTCGTAGTTGAATTTTAATTGGAGTTGTCGAGACTATGCCCAAATTAGAGGAAATGTCAAATAGGTAAAGAAGATACAATTTTTAAAATGTAAAGCAAATATAGGAATAAAAAAGAATTTTCTTTAATTAATTTTATTTATTATTGTACTTCTAATAGCCTATCAAATTTCTTCACGTTTCCTCTTTATTGTTTCTATTTGTACTTTACATTTCTCCCAACTCTAGGAAAAACTATTTTTTTTTATCAAAAGGAATCGAGTCAAACAAAGCAATTGATTTTGGAAAATGAATCGATTAGGAAAAAAGAAACGATCGCATAAACTTGTTCGATTCTAGAAAAAGAACCAAAGTTCTTTCAAGAAAATACATTGCTTCAAGAACCAATGAACAAACAACAATATAAAAAGAAAATGCATATAAAAACGTAAAAAAATCCATAACTCAACTCAAGCCTCCACTCCAATCCATCAATCCATCAAATAACCTCTCCAAATCAAGGCCCAGAGCTCCCCAACGCTTCCAATTCCAAATCAGTTCCTGGTGCGCGATCGGCGGGATAATTCAGGTTCCCCATGTTGAATTTTACTCCGCTAGGAATCTCATCGTAATCGTGACCGTTGTAGAGCATTCTTCCAAAATAAATCATTCGACCGATGACAAGGACAATGGTGATAGTTACGATCCAGACGATCCTTGTTCCCTCGACGATGTGGTTTGATAACAACAGGAAACACGCGACGCCGAAGTAAACATATATCACATCGAGAACCATACGTCCAGTAGCTAGATCTATCCGCCAGGTAGTAGCTCGGAAAGGACACAACGTATAGGCTGTTGAAGATATAGAGATCCGTGTGGAAGCTACCCACGTGTTCGACGACCGACGACGATGGGGTCTGCGCTAGCTTCACGTCCACCATGAGCTGGGAGAGCATAAATCCAAGTGAGATAAGGATGCATCCGTGGGCTACCAAAGCGAACTGAGACGCTGATCGTTCGTGATTGACCATTTTTGGATTTTTCGGCGAGAATTTAGGGATTAAGGATAAGGATTTTCTAGCGAGGAATTTGAGATTTA